CCAACCTTACCCTATCAGACCTGAAATTTGACTGAGAGTTCTTTGAACTCCTTGCTTCCATCATTGAAACACTTTTAGGCTTACTAGTGATCATCCAGCTGTGCCAGAGATGTCACTCAATTACCACCTGGGCTATTTGACATTATAATGAGTTTCAACATATCTGCCAAATCCTCTGTAACATTGAAAAGGATCTGAGCATGCACAATGTGAAAACAGATACAGCAGAGTGTTATCCACTATCCACACTCACACCAACACAGACATAAAACTCTTAGTTCATGGGGGGATTATAATGGAATAAAAGTAGCAATCAATAAATATAATTGTCTTTTTCAATGATATCACAGTGCACAAACTGTAATAGCATGCTTACAACAGTCCAAGGCCTTTCTAAGTCTCAAAGCTTTTTGTTTTATCAAAACAAGAGGTGGCAACTAGTGTTGTCAGGCCTCAAGGCAAAGAGTACTGCAGTTCAATACAATATGTCAAAACACTCCTTCAAAACTCTCAAATAGTCCCAAGCACAGCTCAGATCAACTCAAATCCCTAACACACACAATACACAACTCAAAGCTTCACGCTCTAAGCAAAAACCAATCACAAACACATCCACAAGTGACCAAAAGCACAGATCTCTGTTCACAAGTTTCCAAACCGATCATAGACCCACAGGATTCAAACCTATGTGATCCAGAGACACAAACACAATAAAACACCATCTGACAGACCAATGGGTTTGAACCTCTGCCACCTGTAGCACCATGTGTCACAAATATCTCAAAAACTCAAGATGATGCCCTTCAGACACTGCTCTCTTATTCTTAGGTTAGAGCACAATCCAAAACCTCTTATCAAACTGGGCTTAAGTCCTTCATGAGCTTTGATGCTTCACTTAGTTCTCACAGTGCTCTTAATGATATCTGATAATCAGTTTATTCTCTCATCTGAAGTTACTAACACAAATCTAGAGCTAGAGTGTAAGGCTTTCAGTGCCCAATACACTGCAACTGTGGGGGTTGGAAACTCTCTTTTCTACTCATACAATACCATATTTAAATATTCTACTATGGTACTTACGAATACAATCCTACTATAGTATCTTCAAAGTGCAGGACTCTGTGCCAGATTCTGTGAGTATTATTCATGTGCATATTGCAGTTGCCATGCTTATTCTCTTCTGAGCTAAGACTGCACAATGTTTTCTCACTAGTTGACCTCAGCTAGCTGGCCTAGCCCAGTCTGCTCACTTTCTTATTTCCCTGGTGACATCTTTGACAGCAGTAAACTGTTTCAGACCCCTAGGGTTATCTCTCATGCCAGGAGTCAGCCACAATGGCTATGTCCTGCTTCCCTGTGTCCAGCCAGTCATTTCATCTGACTCACCAAAGGTGCCATTTCTTGGTATGATGTGGAGTCCATCACTGTGTTATGCACTGTAAGTATGCACACAAGGCTTGTGGCAGTATATGCACTATTCATTCCTGGAGTAATATTCCTCTACTTATTACTTTATTGTCATCATTCTATTTCTCTGTTTAATACCCATTTACTCAGATACCTTTCTTTGGGTCTCAGTTCTCTGTTCTAAAGCATGTCCCATCAGTGCATCAATAGCTGTGCATCTTTGATCAATGTGATCAGAATTGCTGATCATATTTCAATCATAGTCTTTTTATTTTTAGCATGTCCTCTCATAATAGTATTGGTGCATTTAGGGCCAAGTGCTGGGACCTCACATGCAGCCTAACCCCTCTGGTATTAGTCTGTTACTAGGCCATGCACTCTGCTTATTGTTACTTCAGTTTATCATTATGATAGCTAGGTTTCTGTGTGCTCTAGTTCTATTTTCTGTTACATGCTTACTGGACTGGAATGCAGTCCATGTATTCGCAATTCTTGCAATTTTACATGCCTGAACATGGAGAGGGCATGTCAGCATTCTCCAACTAAGAATGCCCACCATCTCTCCCACCAGACCTGATTGATGACAAAGAACACTATGAAGTTGATCAGGTTCTCAACCACAAACTATGAAAAAGTAAGACAAAGGGCAGTGGTACAATGACAACAGTTGATTACTTGGTCAGCTAGAAAGGGTATGGACTGAAATCCAATCAGTGGCTCAACAAATGATTGATGAATGCTGATGAGGCTATACATGACTATGAATTATCCCTAAATTAAGCCATTAGGATGATGGTCTTAAGAAGAAGGTAATATTATAATTTTCCCATTTCTTTCTCAATTTAATCCCTATGTATGCTTAGTCAGGGAGCTAAAGCAGGTGCTTAGGACCATGGGACAAGGCTTACATCATCACAAATAGCTGAGTCCATCATTGTCTTTTGACACAACAGCATTGTCTGACAACACACAATCATTCTTTTATGTATAGTATCAACACCCAAGGACAATGGGCACAAAGGACTCAGCAATGCACAATTAGCAATAGTATATTTAGATATAACTTGTACAGTATTTAAGACAGCTCACTCTTGCTGGTAATCTCTAGCTTTGAGCTAAAGTTTATTTTCACACCATCCTCTCTTGAGCCAATCAACTTCATCTTGTGACACATCAATCAGACTATGCATCAGTGAACTCAGCTGATTCCCCAAAGTGCAAGGGAACTCCTGTTTATTATGTGTATCTGTTCATGTGATGCCTGGGTCTAACATTATGGATGATCAGAGCATCCTGGCAGATGAGAGACCTGCAAAGTTCAAACACTATATCATAGTGGGGTCTGATGCCATAGAGTGGTATGTCAAACTCAGAAAGAAAGACAAGGTTAAGTGGAACAACTTCAGCATGGCATTTGATGTGAGGTGGCCATTGATTCTAGCAATGATGAAAATCCAGGAGGAGAAGAAAGAGGAGCTGACAGTGTACTTCTTGAAGGAAGAGGATCTGAGAGTGAAGAAGACATTGGGTGGCATAGAGATGTGGTTGCACAACTCATAGTCAAGGGAGGTTTTACACTTAGTGAAGAGAGCAGGTGTAGCAGATAGGAGGACATATATTGCTGTGATTTGGAAAAGTCTCCCTTCAATCATCCATGATAAGATTGGCATGTCATTCACAGACTGATAGGATTTCACAATGAGAGTTTGCAAGATGCCAATTATAGAGATCACTGACTACATTGAGAAGAAGAAATGGGATGAGAAGTGACAGACAAAAACAGAGAGAGATTGCAGAGTTGTGCAATGTGTTAGCATGAAGGGCTCAGAAATCACTATGTATGACACTCAGCAACCAGCTTGCATGGACCAGCTTTAGTGTGCCACCCTCTTCACCACTGGCACTATGTTATTTCAGCCATCTAGGGCCTAGTTTAGGCAACACTCCACCTACTAACACACAATGAGGTATCCTTGAAGCCACAACTCAGAAGATCAATTAGTTGCACAATCACATTGATGACTATCCAAAGAAGGTGAATGATAAGGCAGGCAGCTGATGAGAAGCAGAGGAGGGAATAGGGAGTTTGTCACTATAGCAGATAGATTGACTATGCAATACCTTATCTGCTCCATCTGGTAACAGCACTTACCTGTATGAGGGAGTGCTTCAGGTGTGGAATGAATAGACACTCAGTTTGTGATTTCTCTATTCAAGCAGGAGACATATTGCTGTGCTGCACCATGGGCTCATGGGCATCAAATTTCAGTTTCTCTCTCTAGATCCATCAGAGCATCAAGAGAGCTGAGCAGTGAGCATCATTCTGCCTTCAAAACAAGAAACTATTCCCCCTTCACTATGGCTCAAGCAATGGAGCACTGATATGACCTGCTCAGATATCTGCTGCATGATCAACAACCTATGAGATAATGACAGATGACTTTCTGCTATCTGCCCCTTTATGTCTGATGAGCAACCTTAGCACTTAGAAGCAGATGCATATCAGCTGGAGCATGTGCACAAGGGATACTTCATCTGATCAGAGATGGATCAGGCATGGATAGCCTTATAAAGCTATTTAATGAGGCACTAGATATAGAAGATGTAGCTGATTTGCTCATAGATAGTGGACCTGCTGAGTGGATTGATGGTGCTCTGCTGGTCTGAAAGGAGGTGGTCTGGGCACACATAGAAGCCACAGCTGATAAGAAGGCAGGCTTTTGGGATCTTAGTATTTAAAGGATAACTTTGTAGATAGAATGGGGACCAACTTTTATAGTACAAAGCTAAGGAATAAAATTCTGCTAGTCTCCAACAAGCCAAAGCCATAAGCATACCTAAAAGCCTTTGAGCCTGGTATTGCATAAGTGAACAGCTCAGAGCCATCCTCAGATCTCTCCCTTATCCTTTTACATCCTGCTTGTGTCCTGCTCATTTACCCTCAAAGCAGATGCCAGAGCTTGTTCTACTAATGAGCCACTTCTCCAGATGAATTCTATTGAGTTCACTCTGAACTGCTGGATTTCCCCCTTGTGATTATAAAAGAACTTGCAAGAGCAGACACAATCCTTCTATACCAGGGAGTTTGCTAGCCTTACATCACCTGCTATAGATCCAAAGGAGAAGATCTGGCAGCAACTTTGCTACAAGGCATTGAGGGCATATTAGAGGGGTACAGTGAAGAAGGTGCATCTCATTGAGCTTGGTGGTGATGATGAGGGTCAGAGAAATGGAGAAGGGCTGTGTGCTTGATCAACATCCAACATGCAGCTCTGTGTCCAGAGTGTGAGATGAAGATCTATGAGATCTCTGCAGATGCCAGATCAGCTTATGAAAACATGCAATTAAACTCCAAGCATTCTCATGTAAACATTGATAATGAATATGATATTGTTGACCTTTATACTGCAGGAGTGCAAGGAGAGGATGCTGAAACACAAAAGACAAGACCCTTTGTACAACTGGTTATGCTCAATAGGCTGCAAGAAGAGGTCATAAGGCTACTAGCAGCTATAGATAATGGTGCCCTTGCAGAAATAATATGTGCAGTGAAGTATGATGAGGTGGCACATCAGTTAGAAACATTGTGACCATCTTTCAAGAGGCTTTGTATGGCAGATGGGACACTCATCCTATCAAGGGGTTCTTGGGAAGAGATAATGACATTTAGCCCAGCAAAAAGAAAAGTCATATTGGAGGTGTTTGCTAACAGTGGAGGTTGGAGCTTCTTATTGGGAAAGCTATTACTCATGCAGTTTTAGGCTGTGCATGACTATATGGATGATATAATCAGAATTTCTGGTCTGATTAGTTGCATAAAGTTGGAGAATCAGATTAATGATTCTGGATGATAGAAGGAGAGCAAAAATCAAGCATCAGAAAAGCTAGAGGTGATGTGTGCAAACTCAATGGAGGACTTGCACTCTCCTTTGAGAGAAGTTCAGCCTGGTATGCCTGCAGAGAATTTACATTATATTGACATCCTCCTAAATGAAGATACTGAGGATCTCATGATTGAGGATTCAGGGAATGCCTTAGATGAGAGGGTAACCAGAGTGGAGGGCAATGAGAGTGGTGCTGATAGTGAGGCTAGTAGAGAGATTGATGCTAGAAAGAGTGAAGCAGTCCATTTGGACAGGCATGTAAACTCACTAGAGGACTTGCCATCTCCTTTGAGGAAATTTTGCTGCTACAAGGAGAATCTCTAAGATATGCCAGATTCTGACAATCATTTGAGGTCTATGATGCAAACAGATGACATTATGCCATGCTCCAAGTTTATGGCACTCACTACCATAATGAAGATTATGGTGGGATTGGACTGCTATGTCTGCACTGAGGGTACCAAGAAGGGAGGAAGCCTAGAGGAGCAGCTGGATAAGCAGCCTACCATTGAGAACAAGCATAAAGCAACATAAAGAGACTCAGTGGGAGAATTTTCTTTTCTCTCAAGAGGAGTATTTCATGCAAATTTGAATGATGAGTCACTGGCAGCTGATACTGATTGCATAGAGCACCTAGAGACTGCAGCCAACTGTCTCAGTATAGAGGAGAATATAGAGGAGAGTGAAACTGCTAAGGTTGAGAATATTCAGCCTGAGATTGACACATATGCAGACAAGACTTTATTCACAAGAGAGACAGACCTATACAATGCATGTCAGATCAAGGCCATCATTGAGGAGATCACAATCAGTGAGAGCTTGACTGAAGACTAGCACAGAGAGATTGTGGACTTTATCACAGAGTTTGCAGACTGCTTTGCTGTTAGATCTAATGAGCATATGATCTGAACACATGATAAACTAGTGCTGCATTGTGTTTATATAGTCATGCTAGAGTTCACTATATGTGTTCTGATAGATTAAGTGCTTCAAGGCCAAAGACAGGCTACACTCAAGAGAGAGTAGTATGAGATAAACTTATAGCTCAAAGCTGGGTTACTACAGCAAGAGCTATCCTACTTATATACTGTCCTGAGTCATGATAAATATAAATACTGCCTATTATACTGTTTTGTATTATGCAGCTTGTTCTGCCTAGTCATTGGAGTGTAGACAATGAAGAGTGGTTCATAGATGAGGTGACCAAGTATAATGCATTATCCATCTGTTGTGATTACATAATCTTCCTCTCAAGTAAGCACTTAAGATAAGATAGGCACTCTGATAAGATAAGAAGAGAAAAATCATAAGATAAAAAAAATCATAACATCACCTCTCTTTTAAAACCATTGTCCTGATAGATCAATTGAGAGAAATTTTATAATCTCATATAGCTTTGTCAGCATTTATATCACATTTGTAGATCTATTGGTTGGATTCTGGCCTATAATCTTTCTATTTGACTAGATAGTAGACTACAGTATGAGTACTCCCACTATATACATAAACCTTCCAGAGATTGTAGTTAAGAATCTGTTTGACTTTATAATGTTTTTTATCATTGATTAAGTCAGATTTGGAGACAGAAGGATTTTCTTGGTTAAGAAAGGCAGACATGATATAGGAAGTGATTAATGTTTCATTAAAGACTGGATGAATGCATCAGGACACAGGGAGTTTTAGGCAGTATACAGAGGCACTAACTTTTTCCAGAATAGGAAATAGTTCAGTTTATTTATCAGTATGTTTTTGTTTTAGATAGAGGAGGTGAAGATTTGTGGTGTCAAGCCAGACTTTATCATTGATAGAGTATTCATGTTCTAGTTGATAGTGTTTATCATATTGTGATTTCATAGTAGTGGCAGTTTTTTCAAGAGCTGTATGTGTTTTAGTATGAATAAACATCAACAGGTCTGTGAAGTTGGATGATGCAGGAGTGGTGGTTCTTTGGTGATTGGTAATTATGACATGTGGATATTGTCTATGATTAATAAAGAAGAGAGTTTTGCTACTTGCAGAGTGTATGCAGTTATTATGTTGAAAAGCCACAAGAGTGAGTCATTTGATCCAGTTATCTTATTTAGAGTTGATAAACATCCACAGATACTTTTCAATTTCTTGGTTAGCACACTCTGTTTGCTCATCAGTTTGTGAATGGTAGGTAGTGGAGGCATTGCTGCAGATATTCAGAAGCTGATAGAGATCATCAAAAAATCTTGATATGAATTGGAGGTCTCAGTCTGAGATGATGACTTGAGGCATCTCATGTTTTATGTAGACTTCATTGCATAGGATCTTTGCACACTCTTCTGATGTTAATTCCATTGAGCATGCAACCAGAATGATCACTTTAGAGAATCAGTCAATAATAATAATGATAGCATCATAGCTGTTGCAGTCAGAGAGTCCAGTGACTATATCAACTGAAATATTGGTCCAAGACTCTCTAGGAACATTGTTTGGGTGAAGGGGAGCAGCTTGTGTCTGTGTGCTTGATTTGGTGTATTGATACATTTTGCACCTCTTAATATATCTTTTGATATCTTGTTCCATCTTTGGCCATCAGTACTCTCTCAACACTAGCTCCTTTATCTTCATAATCCCCAGATGTTCTGCAATGATGTGGTCATGAAACATTATGATAATCTCTCCTCTGAGTGCATAGTCTTGGAGAATGTAGATTTGATTGTTGTAATAGATCAAGTCCTTGTTTGCTGCACTGTGCTCTTGATCCATTCATATATCTCTTCCTCTGTCAGCATTATCATTGCTCTGAAGTGCTCTGGCTTCAAGAGCATTATTTTGCCATTGTCCTCTTCACCCTGGTTGTGATCTGGTCAGCAACTTAACAGGTCTGCCTTCTTGTTTGCTGTCTCCACTTTATGATGCAGAGTATATCAGTATTATAAGAGCTTGGTGATCTATTGGGCTTATCATTAATTGAGCTTTTGTGGTGATCAGAAGTATTAGAGATTTTGATGATTGGTTCAGACCTCAAAAATGTGAATGGCACTGATTAGATAGTGTCTCCATTCAGCAAGTGTGAGTATAATAGCAAGTAGTTCCTTGTCATATATTTCATAGTTGCACTCAGTAGTGGTGAGCACCTTGGAGAGGAAGGTGACAGATCACCATTTTCCATCCTGTTTCTGTGAAAGCACTGCTCCTATTGCTCCTTTGCTCAAATCAGCTTCCACTCTGAATTGCTTCTTCTCTGTTGGTATCATTAGTACTATGTCTTTGGCTAACCACTTCCTCAGATCTTCAAATGCTGATTGCTGAGCTATCCCCTAAGACCAAGAGGCATTTCCTGTAAGTTGTGTCATGGGACAGACAATCTTGCTGTAATCTCAGATAAACTGGCAGTAAAAGTTCATAAATCCAAAAAACAATTGTAGCTCCTTCTTCTTGTTCAGCATTGGCCATTCTATCACTCCTGCCACTTTGACTGGATCCATCCAAATGTTCTCTTTGCTGATAATGACTCTGAGGTACTCAGTCTTCAGTACCTCAAATTCACATTTCTTGGCCTTAAGAAAAAGCTTGTGCTTCCTCATCAGCTCTAGTACTTGCCATGTGAGCTGTTGGTGTTCATTCTATCCTTTAGACATAATCAGGATATCATCCAGATAAATAGTGACCTTTCTAGTCACTATGAGGTCCTTGAAGATGTCATTCATTATCAATTGGAAGGTGGCAGGAGAGTTTATTAGGCTAAAGAATATAATCTTGGATTTGAAAAGCCCTCAGTTAGTTCAAAATACTGCCTTCCATTCATCTCCCTCTTTGATCTGGATATTGTTATATCCTTGTCATACATTCAACTTAGTGTAGTATTTCACTCCTTAGAGTTTGTCCATCAATTCTGAGATCAAGGGAAGAGGATAATGATTCTTGATCACCATCTCATTCAGCTTTCAGTAATCCTGAACTGGTCAGAGCTCTCCATCCTTCTTTTTGACAAAGAAGAAGGGAGAGGCCATAGGGGATTTTAATAGTCAGATCCTTCCACTGGAAAGATTCTCATCTAAGAACTTGTCAAGTTCCTGCTGTTCCAGTTACTCAAGAAGGTATATTTTACAGTCTAGGTTGATATTGGCATTTGGAATGAGCTCAATCCTATGATCCTAAGGCTTTGGTTCCAGCAATTCATCAAAATTCTGTTTATTGAAGAGGTCTCAAAAGTCCTGCACCCATTCCAGCACCATTTCTTTGAATGTCTTAGCCTTCTTCTCAGCATTTGCTTTAGCAGCTAGGTTGTTGGCATGATATACCACTTGAATGCAGATTGTCTGGTCTAAATTAACTGCAGGGATAGTGTCTTTGTCTTCTATCTCTTTATTACACTGGTCCTCAGAGTTCTTATCCAGTAGTAGTTCAAAAGAGACTTTTCAGCAATAGTAATATGCAAAAGTGATCTGCTCTGTCTTCCAATTGATCAATGGGTTATGCCATGTGAGCCAATCATAGCTGAGGAAGATTTCTTTGGATCTCAGCTCAGTCACAGCTAAATTGATCTATTCCAAGCGATCCTGATCATTAATTGGAGTTTGACAAACTCTGTGATTGAGCTGGCTTGGTTCTTGGTCCTGTCAGCATTGTAAACTAGGATTAGACCAGCAGTGGCTTAGGTTCAGAGATTGTGATTAGTGATGAAAGCATGATTGATGGAACTCCTAGTGCAGCTGCTGTCAATCAGAGCAGTGACTATATGTATGGACCAGTTAGTGAAAGTCTTAATCTGCACTTTCATGATTAGGTCTCTTCCTGAGGTCTTTTGTCACCAAATATATTTCCTGGGCCTCTTTAGTTCATCTAGCCATTCCAAGGCTTGATTCCTCTCTGCCTTTCTCATTTCTTTGATCATTTCATTAATT